CCCGCCTCAGGGAGCGCGCAGCGAGCGGCTGGACAGACGGCAGCCGCAGGCGTCTCTTCAGGCCCAGAGCCAGGAAACGCAGCCTAGCGAACCGGCCGTCGGTAATGACAAGCACTTTATCTCAGCCCATCGAACAACTGGTTGAAATTTTGTAAATACAAAAAAACAGATTTTTTTTTTTCTTCACCTGGGCACGAATGGGCGTGATAAGTGATTTGGGCAAATTACTTAACCTCTAATCCTGTTTTTTCATTTGTTAGCAAGAAATGATAAAACTGTGTCTCCAAATTGCTATGGTGACCAAACGTGGCCATGCATGTACCTCAACATGCTTTACAAAATACTGGCGGAAGGTCCTAATACACATAATATATGTATAGGACTATTATTAATATTATTGGGCGACTGTATCCCCTCTCCCCCAACTCTCTAAATCACAATAAATGCCAGCGGGCTCGGGGAGCAAGAGTAGAGCTCAGCGGACCTTCCAGGCCCTTGGCGCAGCACCGCCCGGACCCAGCATGGCGGCGTCGGCTTCTTCCCGCCCACACCCCAGCGCCGCTACGGGGGCCTTGGGGGCCTCACCGTGGGTAGACTCGGCCCCGACGCCCTTTGATGACGACAAAGCGCGAGCCCGCGAAGAGGACGGAGCCAGTTCGCGCAGGCGCAGCGCGGCCGCGGTGGGCGGAGCTGGTCGGGATGAGTGGCGGAGGAACGGAGACTGCTGCTGCTAGTGAGGCCGCCGCGGGCGGCGGCCACAGGAAGAGGGACTCGCTAGGGACGGCGGGCTCGCCAGCGCACCTCATTATCAAGGGTACGGAGTGGTAGGGACCCGGCGCTGGCGGGCGCCAGGGCGGCCTCACCTCCCAGGCGGCGCCCTCGGACCCGCGGCGGTGCCGCAGACCGGCCCCCGGTTGGGGGTTAGGGGGGTGGCTCGGGGAGCGGGGTTGTGGCCCGTCCCCCCTCACTCCCCCAGTTCTCTGCGCCGGGTGCCCCCAGTAACTACAAACCCGATCTCTCGTCCTTCCTCGAGGGAAAAAAATGTACCTGGGCCGTGAGCCTCCGGGCCGCCGCCTCGCCCCCTCCCCACGCCCGGGACCCTTGGGCGCGGGGCCTCTGGACGCGGCCTCGCGACGCCCCCGTAATGCAGAGAACCCGGGACTGGGAGTGGGCGGGGCTGCGCCTCCGGGCGGGCGGCTCGGGAGCCCTGTGACTCTGGTCCCGTCGCTTTCCCCGCTCTCCAGCCCCGTCTGCTCCCGGGCCGGGCCGAGGCGTGGGTGGGATGACGGACGAAAGCGTCTTCCAGCACTAAGCTCCATGCACCTGCACGGTCCTCCATTTTTCCTGTGTGCTTTGAGCAAGAGGCTTGCAGCCTGGATTCTCACAGAACCCAAAGCTCACGGCACCCTGTTTCCTGCAGCAGCGTCTCTGCCAGTTTCTCGTCGCCGGTCGGTCTTTGCCCGGTCCCTGCGCTGTGTGCCCCGCCGCCCGCCACGCTGCGGAAGCCCTGGAGCGGCGCCCCTCCACGCCGCCTGGGTCACGGTGACCGCATCTGTTCGCGGCCGTGCGCGGCCGCAGCGCAGCTGGCCGCGGCTGTTTCCAGACTTCAGGTTCTCTCTCAAATCTCATGAGGAGCGCGGGAGTGGTGTGTGGGTGCCCTTATCATTGTTAATATGTGTAATCTTAGTGAACTACTTAATTTTTTTAGTTGTAGTAAAATACATGTAACAGAATTTATCTTATAAATCATTTTAAGTGTACAGTCAGTGGCATTACTACACCCACACTGTGCAACTGTCAGCACCATCCACCCACGTAACTTTTCCATCTTCACAAACTGAAAGCGTGTACCCGTTAAATACTAGCTCCCCAAATCCCCAGGCAACCGCCATTCTGTTCCGTTTCTGAATGGGACTACTCTAGGTACTTTATGTAAGTGTAATCATAGCATTTATCGTTTTGTGATTGGCTTATTTGACCCAATGTCCTCAAGGTTCATCCATGTTGTAGCATATGTCAGAATTTCTTTTTTAAAACTAAGTAATATTCTATTGTATATGTATATATATTTTATATATATGATATATGTATATGATATATTTATTGTACATATACCACATTTTGTGTATCCATTTATCTGTGGATGAACACGCCTATTGCTTCTCCTTTTTGGTTATTGTGAATGATGCTGCTGTGAACAGTGGGTATGCAAATTATGTTTGAGTCCCTGCTTTCAGTTTTTTTGAATATATGCCCAAAACTGGAATTGCTGGATTAAAGATAATTCTGTTTTTTAATTTTTTGAGCAATCACCATATTGTTTTCCATAGGAGCTCTGTGATTTTACATTCTCACTAATAGTACACTAGTGTTCCAATTTCTCCACACCCTCACTAAGACTTATTTTCTGTTTCCTTGCTAGTTCCTCCTAATGGGTATGACGTCGTATCTTGTAGCTTTGGTTTTCATTTCCCTAATGAATAGTGATGTTCATCATATTTTTATGTGCTTATTAGCTATTTGTAAAGCTGCTTTGAAGAAATGTCTGTTTGAGTCCTTTGCCCATTTTTAAGTCAAATAATTTGGGGGTCTTGTTTTGTTTCGAGTTGTAGGAGTTTTTTATATATTCTGGATATTAACCCCTTTTCAGATACATGATTTGCATATATTTTCTCCCACTCCATGGGTTGCCTTTTCACACTGTTGATTGTATCCTTTCATGTACAGAAGTCTTTAATTTTAATTTACTTTAAAAAAAAGATAATTCAAAGGAAGTTTTTTCAAGTCAATCCAAAATTGAGGTGTAATTGAAAATATGTCTGAACTTCCTTGGCTTTTTCAATGGAACCATTTGTTCTTTTCATTCTGAAGAAATCTATTTTTAGTTCATCTTATTTGAAGACTGTCAGTTGTGAACAGATATTTGTTTAATTTTGTTGCCAGAGTCTAGTGAAACGGAAACATATAAATAAATTATTTCAGTACTTATGCCTGGACCTTTGAGGGTTTCTAGCCCGGGGGCGGGTGTTAGAGGTGGGTACTGAGAGACAGGAGGGGTTCCTGAGGATGGAGTATCTGATCTGAGTCTTGAGAAATAAAGTATTAGCAGTTAAAAGAGGGCCAGAGTGTTTTGAACTTAGTTTGGAACAGCATGAGCAAAGGCATGGAGGCCTGCAACTGCCCAGTGTGTCTGGGTAACTTTACATATTGCTACAGTGAGTCTGAGAGAGGTGGAGTTTGGTGGAAATCAGACCATAGAAGACTTTTTCTTCAGTGTTGTAAACTATCCAATAATAAGTATGAGAATCATGTGATTAGATTTGTATTTTAAGTAGAGTGCTCAGAGAGTAGTGGTCCTCATCTTGTGGATTTCATATTTGTGAATTTGCCTGTTTGCTAAGATAAATTCATAACTCCAAAATCAATATTGGTGGTGCTTTCAGTCATTCCCACATAGAGAAAAATTTTAGTTGCCCTGTGTGTGCTCTTTCGGGAGCTGAGATTGAACAACGCAACACTCTGCTTTTTGTTTCAGCCCTCATACCATAAACAGGTGTCCTTTTTGCTCTCTATTTAGTGCCATGTTTTTCACATTTTTGTAATTTTTGTTGGCGATTTTGCTGTTTAAAGTGGTTTCCAGGTATAGTGCTGAAGTGGCTGCAAGAACAAGCAAGCTGTGTGATGTGCCTTAGAAAATACCTGTATTAGAGAAGTTTCTGTGAAGTATGAGTTACATACAGTGCTGTTTGCTGTGAGTTCAGTGTTAATCAGCAATCCAGAAAAAAGAGGAAAATTCACCAATCTGTATGTAAGACCACTTCAGAAAGTGCCAAGGTAACATTTATGGTGTGTAGTGAAGCAATGGAAAAGCAGCTAAATTTGTGGATTTATGAGATGATGACCGATAGAGCAAGTGCAGTGGACAGCACTGTGTAAAGCTGAAAGCCAAAAAAATCTATAGTTCAGCTACCAAGGGTCACAGAAATGTGAAACCCTTCTGGGCTAGTGCTGGCTGGCACTTTCAAAGGTGGTACAGGGTGAAAAATGTTAGGCTTGCCTGTGAAGCAGGTTCTGCAGATCAGGAGGCTGTAGAAGAACTTTAAAAATACCTGCTAAGTGTTATACAGGAAAAGTGTTACTGGAAGAGCAGATCTTCAACACTGAGGCTGGTGTGTTTTACAAGCATCTTGGTAAACAACCTATATGACACAGATTGCGTTTCGGTTGACAGAAATGTCACAAGAGGCTTGCAGGAACCTAATCCTGTATTTTAGGAGCAATGGCTCAGTATTCTCTAGTTCGGTGTTCACGGCAACTTTGTAAACATAACTACTGCAAATAATGAGAATTGACTATATGGAGCGGGTTATAGAGACCTGTGACCAACTGTTGATGTAGTCCTAGTGAGACAGGCAGGGATGGAAAAGCACGATTTTATACGTTGTGAAGAAGAATAACATTTAGATGGTGACAAAGGGTTTTATTAGGGAAAATTGCTATGCAGTAAATTGTTTAAGATAGAGAAAGCTCCACATATTACATCAAAGGTCTCCAAATTTAGGACCAGAGAAAAAAATTTCTTTTATTAGATAATGAGAGAGCTGCAATTCACTGTGTTCCTCCTTGTTCCATAGTCACAGAGCATATTGATCTTCCATTAAAGTGATTATCCTGTCTTTTGTGTGAAGGGATATTTGTCTAACTCCCACAATAGAGTATGAACTTCAGAGAACAAAAGATGGTATCTTTTGTCTTGTATATCAGACAACAAAAGAATGCTTCCCGTGTAGCTGTGTGGAAATCTGTAGCTTACATTTATTTACAGAGAGTTTATTTATAATCCTTGGGAACTCCTACAAACTCTGAATTATTATCATGTTCTTGTTTTGTTGTTACAATGTTAGAACAAAACTAGTGGCTTAATTTCTATATTAATGTGTATTTCAGAATCCCCCTTCCCCCTCCATCTTTACGATCTTAAATTCTGGAGCACAGTCATGGTTTTAGAAGTGATCATTGTCCATGTCTAAACAGAATTGAATTCTTTCTCCAAAGCTTAACTAAATTCCCATTATATCAGACCACAGAAACAGATCTCACAAAATCAACAAAGCTTCATGACTTCTTAGTCACATAGGAAAATACATGTTAGCTCAGATATGCACTGTGGACATGTAAATAACTTGGTCTCTGAGATACTTGCTGGAGGAGAGATAATTTTAGGACAGTACAGGAAGTGGTATGATGGAAATATATGCCCTGGGTACTTTGGGAACATACGGTAGGAATACTCCTGGAAACCTAGGAGGAAGCTAGATAGAATTAATGAAAATTTCAAGGAAGCACGATGTCTGAGCAGTTTCGAAGGAAGAGCGCAGGGATTAGGGAGGTGAGGAGTGATGCCAGGTGGTGACAGTAGTATGAACTGTGGCAAGGATGCATGGGCAGCATGATGTGTTTAGGAAACTGCAAGGAGTTCAGAATTGCTGACAGGTGGGGAGATGAGGCTGGAGCCAGACCGTGGAGGCCCTTATGTGGCTTCTGAGGAGGCTTGGAATTTAGCCTTTTGCCAGACACTGGTGTTTATTGAGATATTCTTTGCAAATAAGTTCTCTTGTCAAATAAGGCCTGTAAATTTCTGCATAGCATAGTCCTCACTTGGGCATTCATAATTCGTGTCAGTATGCTATTGACTCCCAGAAGATCAGAGGTAAAGGAATCTATCTGTTTTCCAAACTTAAGTAGAATTTTTTAAAAAATGAATTCCTTGTATCTCCTCAGAGAACTGTTCTAAGTAATGAACCATTGAAGGATTTAAGCAAAAGTAGTACTTCTATTTATATATTTTTACTTAGCATACTTCTCACAATGTATCCCAGTAAAACTCATTAGAGAACTGAAATTTGTCCCATTGCATGTCTGCAAAAGTAAGAAATTTGAGGAACAGATTATTCCAGTGAGTGAAATGGTACATGTTCTTATATGGAAATTTAACTCCTCCAGGAATTTTGACCTTTACCTCTTAAACTATATAGTTATTACTAAGTAGAATGAGTATAATGACTCATCCCAAACAGTTAAAATTCAGAACTTTTTTCTTTAATTATGACTTTCAAATCTATCAAAAAGTACAGAGACTTATAATGAACATTCACCACCCATCTTAAAAGATAAACATTAAAAGACCACTGTGTATCTTCTTCTAATTGCATTGTGCTCCCTCCTCTAAAGGTAACCACTGTCTTGAATTTGCTATTTATTATTCTCATACATTTCTTTATAGTTTTATTGTTTCTGTCTGTATCCCAAAAAGGAAGTATCATTTTGCATATTTTTAAAGTTTATGTAAATAGCTTTATTTTACTGAAACCTTTTTTGTGTATTAACATTATATTTGTGGACTGTATCCATATTAAAAAATGTAACTAGTATATTCATTTTACTTGCTGATTTATAGTATTTCATTGTATGAATATGTTTAGGTTGTCCCTTTTTTCTTTTGACATTACACCATTTGTAAGTGTCTCTTTCATTTGGGTAAGAGTTTTTCTAGAGCACATAGGTAGGCATGAAATTGCTAGGTATACATGTCTTCAGCTGTCTTAGATATTGCCAAATTGCTCTCAAAAGTACTTGTCTCAATTTACTGGGAGTGGACTAGATTTCCACTCGACACATTGTCTAAACTAGATTTTAACCTTCATACATTTATGGGAAACAGAAAGAGTAGAACAAGCTAGAGATTGTGCCACTTAATGTGGATTAATCCTGAATTTTATTTTGTCTTACAGATCTTGGAGAAATTCACTCAAGGCTGTTAGATCACAGACCAGTTATTCAAGGTGAAACCCGTTATTTTGTGAAAGAATTTGAAGTGAGTATTTAAAACTTATTTTGTAAAAATACTGCCCTAATTGTTAGTGTGTTCGGGTACGGATGGGACATTCTCTAGTTTTAAAATTTCTGATTTCTGTTCATGTGTTCATAAAACCTACATAAGTAAAACTCTGTTAAGAGTTTTACTATTAATGGAAGGAGCATAAGACTAGGCAGCAGGTGACTTGGGGTGAAGTTCTGTGGCCTACTCTGGCATATTTAATGTCTGTCAATCTCAGTTTTTTCATCTATACAATGAGTTACAGTGAAAAAAGGATTTTAAAGAATGATTGGTCTAGGTTTTCCAGACCCATTTTCTATATATTTTTTCTCAGTTGGGACATCAGCACCCACCCAGAGCACTCAAGTTAAAACATGAGAATTATCCTTAGCTATTCTCTCACCTTTAGGGCCCATATTTGGTGACTTAAGTCTTCTGAATGTTACCTCTATTCCCTATAACCCTTCTGGTTTGTGTGCCTCCTTTATCAACCCAGTCAAATCCGATCTTTACTCCGCTGCCAGAGTGCTCTGGCATTATTTCACTTTTTAAAACCCTTTGATAATATTCGCCATCTACAGGATGAAGTCTAACCATCATTCTGTGACCTGTTCCCCACCTTTCTGGCTTAACCATCTGCCTCCCTAGCTTGTATGCTATGTTGCAGCAATACTGATGCACCAACCTGCCATCCTGTCTCATTACTGTTCTTTTGCACAAACATAATTGGTTCATTGTGCATTAAACAGTAACATCTCGAGCTACTTTTGGATAGATGGTAAATGGTGTTACACAAACAATTTTGTGATTCTGTGTAAGTTGATTTTCTATTTTCAAATGAGACTCTAACCAAGCAGGAAGTCTAAACCTGCCAAAAGGAGAGAATCTTTTCATAAAGCATTTAAAACTACAAAAAGCCTTTGGTACAGAGCAGTGAAGATTGAGAGACAGAGCTGCAGCATTAGATACCATTTTTTAGTTCAGTAGATTCTGTTGTTCAAAATCTGCATAATATCTATGTCAAAGGGTGGTTGTGAAGATTAAAGGTGTGTATGTGCACCACGCACGCGTCTGTATGTGTGTAATTTGGAACACTGTCTGGTACCTGGGAATAGCTGTTGGCTATCTTCATCATATTATTGTTGTGGGAGAACAATAATGTGGGACACAGAAAATGACCCGAGACTATTCCCTTATCATACTAGATAAAGATTATTACTGATTCCTTAGTGAGGTTAAATTAGAATAGTGAGAATAAAGCTGTCTGTGTTCTCTGCTCAGGCTCTCAGAGCTAAGATCCAGGTGTTGGCCAGACTTTATTCTTATTTGAGGCTCTGTGTTCTCTTCCTAATTCATGTGATAGTGGCAGGACTCACTTCTCTGCTATGGTAGAACGAAGTTTCCTTACTTGCTATCAGCCAGGGCCCCCTCTCAGCTCCTAGAGGCCACTCACATACCTTGCCACATGGCCCCCTCCATCTTCAAAGCCATCAGTGGAATCTCCATCACATGGAATCCCTCTTGTGCTTGCCAGGGGGAGCCCAGTCCCTAATAAGGACTTACCTGATTAAGTCAGGCCCATCTTCCTTTTTTAAAGTCAACTGATTTGGGACCTAAAGTATATCTACAGAGTATCTTCACAGCAGCACCTAGATTAGGGTATGACTGAATAACAGAGGAAGTGTGTGTACACTAGGAGTGGGGTCTCGGGGGCCATCTTAGAATCCTGCCTACCACAGGCTCTTATAAATGCCTGATAGTTTTCTAGTTACCTACTTATTACTTGTCTTGCTTCATTAGAATATAGGCACCACAAAAATAGGTACTTATCTTTTTTATTTTCTGTTATATTCAAAATGCCTAAAACAGTGTTTGCTGCATTGTAGGTGCTTAATATCATTCAGAAAAACAAGTAGCAGAGCTTGACTAAAACTTGGGTTTCTGACATTTGGTGATGTCGTAAATCATCTTTGTCATAAGGTCATCAATTTTCCAGTATGGTTAATTTGAAATACTGAATAATTATTATTAAAATTTTCTTAAATATACCTTTAAAGATCTACTTTTAATATTATTTATTGATTTGTGAGAGGGAAGGAGGGAGGGAGTAAGAGAGAGAGCGACATCTATTTGTTGTTCTACTTATTTATGTGTCATTGGTTGCTTCTTGTATATGCCCTGACTCGAGATTGAACCTGCAACCTTGGCATATTGGGATGATACTCTAACCAACTGAGCTACCTGGCTAGGGTGATCTACTTTATTTTAAAAGAAGCATAGAATTTTGGAATAGTGGTGGATTCTCTAATTCAGTTCCCTCACTTCATAGACATTGAGCCCAGAGATGGAAAACTGTGTGTGAAAAGTCATGCAGCTAATTAGTGGCTAAGTTATCCCTAGAATACAGGTGTCATTATACTTATATCAGTGTTCTTTAAATAATGTAGGAGTTTTCTGTGAAACTGAGTCTCGAAAGAAGTGTTACATTTGTGCTGCTGAATATGCTATAGTCAAGAGCTCACTTCCTGTTGAAGCCAATACCTCTTTTAACTAGGATGGAAGATAGTTGCCAGGAGCATGTCCGAAAGGAGAGGAATTACAGTTGGCCCTCTGTAGCCATGGGTTCCGCATCTGGGAATTGAAAATATCCAGGAAAAAAGTTACATTGTTGTTAGTGTATATTATATAGTTAGGCCTACTATGATTGTGTCTGTATTGAACATGTAAAGACTTCTTTTCTTGTCATTATTCCTAAATAATACAGTATAGCAGCTGTTTATAAAGCACTTACATTGTTTAGGTATTTATTATAAATAATCTAGAAATGATATAAAGTATATAGGAGGGCCCAGCTGGCATGGCTCAGTGATTGAGCTTCGACCTAGGAACCAGGAGGTCGAGGTTCCCTTGTCAGGGCACATGCCCAGGTGTGGGCTTGATCCCCAGTAGAGGGTATACAGGAGGCAGCCAATCAATGACTCTCATTGTTTTTATCTCTCTCCTTCTCCCTTCCTCTCTCTCAGATCAGTAAAAACATATTTAAATATATATATGTATATATACATATATATACATACACACACACATACAGATACAGGAGNTGTGGGCTTGATCCCCAGTAGAGGGTATACAGGAGGCAGCCAATCAATGACTCTCATTGTTTTTATCTCTCTCCTTCTCCCTTCCTCTCTCTCAGATCAGTAAAAACATATTTAAATATATATATGTATATATACATATATATACATACAGATACAGGAGGATGTGCTTTGGTTATATGCAGATACTATGCCATTTCATGTAGGGGACTTGAGTATCCTTGGATTTTGGTGTCTGGGGTCAAGGGGTCCCTCCACTATACCAAGGAACAGCTGTATCTGCATTCTGCATTGTTAAGCCCTCTAAGACTTTTTGGAGAGGAGGCTGTGTTGAAGAGTAGAAAAAACATGGGCCTTGGAGTTTGATATATCTGAGTTCAAATCCTGGCACTCTTCTTACTAGTTATGATTACTTTCTTTACTGAGGCTAGTTTCCTTATTTTAAAAATGGGAGCAATAATATATACTGTAGAAGTTTTGAGAGGATTAAGTGAAACATTTTAAAAAATCCCTTGTGTAGAGATATTAGACAAATGTTGGTACCTTATTAAGAGAAAATGGTAGCAGGTACAATCAAATAAAAATATTAATTCAGAATTTGCAATAAATTTTATGAATTTGGGTTTAATTTTTAATGTCTTAGGGAAAGTAGGGACTTGCTAAGCAAGTGGCATAAGCGTTACCTGAGGAATATGTTTACTAAGGAATAAAATTCTCACCCTGGGTATGGTAGATACAAGGCTATGTAAATTTCTTAAGCACTTACTTTGTTGAGACAGAATGTCAGAAATTAATGCTCTATTGGTGAATAAGACAGACACAGACCCACCCTTCACAAAGCAAGGCATTCTTTTTTTTTTTTTAATATTGTTATTGATTTCTAGAGGGAGAGGAAGAGAGAGAGAAAAACATCGACNTAAGAAGCACTGCTTCTTGAATATGAGGTGTTTGTTTTTTTTAAACATATCTTTATTGATTTCAGAGAGAGGAAGGGAGAAGGAGAGAGAGAGAGAAACATTAATGATGAGAGAGATCACTGACCAGCTGCCTTCTGCATGCCCCAACACGGGATTGAGCCCGAAACTGGGCATGTGCCCTGACTCAGAATTGAACTGGCGACCTTTAGGTGCACAAAGCAGTCTTATATTGTCCTTGAGGAATAGTCTCTGAAGGGCTCAACAGTATTTTGTCAGCTAAGTTTGAGCCCTTATCTGCAACTAAATATAACATTTTCTTGAAACGTACCCAATCCAGTCTTTTCACACAGTTGGTCTTCCTGAGGGTTTAGTGTAACACGGAAACTTTTCTACATATCAGGCTCAGCTGCCTTTTCTGTATATTATATTCTAATATTTTCCCTCAAATTAGAAGAGAAAGGCTGAAAGCATTTTAAGGACTTTAGAGTTACAAGGATATCTGCATTGTTTACAGTTCTTTTCTATCTTGGTCCAAACAATAACGTCCTCTAACTCGTCCGCGTGGTCGTCACCCAGAACTGCATGGTTGGACAGAGAGGATGGTGAAGCAGAGTCATCCGTACTCCTGGAAGTTTCATCTGCTTCACACCATTTAAATGTAGTTCACTTTAAGAAAACTGAGTAGTACTTAAAACTAAAATTGTTTATAGTTTATGTATTTTTAAAAGTTAATGTTCATGGCAACAGTCTTTTTCTTTATAAAATTTTATTTCTAAAAGAAGGAACTAAGTGCCACATGGTGGCAGCATTGCTTAAATTATTAAAGTTCTGTTAAAATATTTTAAGCTTTCTTTTTCTGTTTGCTAGTATTTCTGGACTGTTGATTGTCTTTCTCTGTTTTATACAAATCTTTGTTCCCTTGATTCCAGTGAACATGTGAACAGAGATGCCAGTGGGGCCCATGCAAGTGAGCATTAGTTTG